TTTGCCCTTTTCGGGCCTTCCTGGAGGCCTTCTTGGAGGCCTCTTGGGCTGTCGTGGGCCATCTTTGGGCCATCTTCAGCCGTCTTGGTGGGCTCCTGGCCCGTCTGACGCCGTCGGAAGCCGTTTGGGGGGCCTCTCTGGGCCGACTTGGGGCCCTCTTGGCATGCTCCAGGGCCGTCTTGGAGGCCATCTTGGGCGTCTTAAAGGCCTCATGGGCCGTCTTGGGGGCCTCTTGTGGCCGTCTTAGGGGCCTCTTGGGCCGTTCTGGGGCCATCTTGGAGGCCTCTTGGGCGATCTTTGGGCGATCTTTGGGGGCTCTTGGGCCGTCTCGGGCCGTCGGAAGGCCGACAAGAAGCAAATGCCACAATCCTTCAAAAACTATTAGGGAATCAGTTTTTGTTGGCCTTACTGGAGGCCCTCTGGGAGGCCTCTTGGGCCGTCTTGGGCCAGCTTCGAGCCAACTTCGGCCATCTTGGTGGGTTCCTGGCCCGTCTGACGCCGTTGGGAGCAGTCTTGGGGGCCTCTCTGAACCGACTTGGGGTCCTCTTGGGGCGCTTCGGGGTCGTCTTGGAGGCCATCTTGGGCGTCTTGGAGGTCTCTTGGGCCGTCTTGGGGCCCTCTTGGGGCCGTCTTGAAGGCCTCTTGGGCCGTCATGGGGCCCTCTTGGAGGCCTCGTGGGCGATCTTGGGGCGATATTGGCGGCCTCTTGGGCCGTCTTGAGCCGTCGGAATGCCGAGAAGAGGCAAGTGCCAAAGTCCTTCAAAAACCGAAGGAAGGTCAATGATTTTGGCCTCTTCAGGCTCTCCTGGGGGACCTCTTGGCACCCTCTTGGGCCATCTTGAGGCCATCTTGCAGCCATCTTGGCCCGTTTTGATGCTTCTTGGACGATTTAGACGGCATCTTGGACCCTTTCGGGCCATCTTGGAGGCCATCTTGGACCATCTTGGGCGAATTTGGAGGCCATCCTGGGCCATCTTGGCCGTCTTGGAGGCCATCTTGGGCCAACTTGGGGCAACAAAGGCATCGACGGACGCGTTTTGAGATCCTTCCCAGGACCCCGGTGGGACGGGTCGAAGCCCCAGGAGGAGTTCTTTGGGAAAAGAGCCCAAACCAAAACCGAAATCATCTAGCACGCCAGGCACCCCTGTTGCAAGCAACAGGGGGCGGCGGATCTAATCTAGTGGCCCTCGGCCCATCCCAGCACCGTGCCTGAGTTGTGGTTCAGAGGCCTCTTGGATGTTCGTTGGGATCTCGTGAGAAGCCTTTCAGGGGCCTGTCCGAGGCAGATTGGAAGCCTCTGGGGGGCCGTTCGGGGGCCTCTTGGGGCATCTTGTGGGCCTCTTGGGGGTCTCTTGGGGGGCCTCTCGGGGTCTCTTGGGGACCTCTTGCGGCCTCCCGTGCGCCTCTAGGGGCGGAAAGCTGGAGTTTTCGGTTCGTCGTCCCCTTCTTGGGCCCCCCATTGGGGCCCTCTTGGGGCCCTCCTGGGCTGTCTCGAGGCCCTCTTGGGCAGTCTTCGGGCCGTCTTGGGAGCTCTTGGGGGGTCTCTGGGGTCGTCTTGTGGCAGTCTTGGGGGCCTCTGGGGCCGTCTTCGAGCGTCGGAAGCCGGAAAAGGCGAGAAAGCCAAAAACCTTGAACAAAAAAGAGACAGATCAACGACATAATTAGGCCACTTGGGGCCCTCTTGGGAGGCCTCCTCGAAGCCTATTGTGGCGTCTTAGAGGCATCTTGGGTCGTCTGGAGGCCATCTTGGGCGTCTTGGGCCGATGTTTCGGCGACCCGAGGCCCTCTTGGACCGTCTTGGAGGTCTCTTGGGGGCCCCGTGGCCCGTTGGGAGGCCCTCGATGCCCCCCCCCCGGCAGCTTTTTGTTGAGCAAAGTACCCCCCCCGGCCGGCCTGGATAGCCCCTGGCCGGCCGGGATAGATTCCCCCCCCTCCAAATCGGACCGAGCTCCTGGGGGAGGGGTTCAGGAAGGGGCGCCGGGGGAACATCTCACGCGCCGATGAACCCCAAGTAGTCGACGGATACGGGCCGATTGTAGATCATTGCGGTGTTGGCGCGCTGGCGACGCCAGCGAGGGCGTTCAAGGTTGAATTTTGCGACACGGATGGACCGATGAGCACGGTGATGCCACTGAACCTGACGGAAATCAACATTGAACGATTTGGGCTGCGATCGTCAAGGTTGAACGAGCGACGCGTGTCAAAACCCTGTGCGCGCGCCGAGGCCGCCCCTGCCCCGCATCGACTCGGGAGAATCGGCCGGCGGGGTGGGGGTTCGGATGCTGCCGCCCACAAAGGAGAAGCTGATGTCTTGGGCGGACGCCCTGGGCCTCGACGGCAAGTACGATTTCGTGCATCTGCCCCGCCGGCGCTACGGCTTCATCAACTTCGTCGACCCGGGCTCTGCCTGCAGGTTCCAGGAGGCGGTGGGCAGCTTCCCGGCGGGTCCTCGCAAGTCCGGCCCGGGCGTCTGCGCCGCTACCTCGACGGTGCAGGGGCTGGAGCTGCTCCTGGCCAGGTTCATCCGTGGGCGCTCGCGCCACGCCCAGCGTCCCGACGTGCTCCCGTTCGTGCGGCAGCTTTGGCGGTGGCATGCGACCACCTTCGGGGGTGGACAGAACCCCCAACAGTGACACGTCGACTAGTGAATTGTCCGTTTTCGGTTCTCGAGATGGCGCCGTGGCCATTATTTTCCAGGCTTGCGCCCGCCAGGTTTGGGCCTCAGGTCGTTTTCACTGAACCACGTTTTTTTTACTAAAGGGGGGTCTGTCCATCCCCGACACCTGCGAACCCTGCCCCTGCGGGGCCAGTCGGCGCAGGGCTAGCGGACGCTCTCGCTGGGGTTCGCTTGGCTGCAGACATCCTCCACGCTCTGAGCCTGTTTTTGCGTTCGAATTCTGAGCTCCAGAACCCCGACGTCATGAGTTCTTCAGACATGGATCCCAGATGTCTGAACACCTTTCCCGTGGACTGGTTTCTCATCCCGCGTCTTGTTTACCGTTCCGTGGTTCCGCAAGGGCCTTCGGAGGCGAAACATAGCCAACGACTCTTCGTCGCGATTTTTTCACGACTCGAGGCGGTTTGGGCGGGTACGGCCCACACGTGGTTGCCCAAGGTGGGGCGGCTTCTACCCCACCGACGTGGTGCTGGCGAACATGTCTGGGCCCAGCTGCTGCCAGGTGTCCTGCGTAGACCGGGGAAACCAAACAGTTCCGATACCGCTATTCCCCAGACTTCTCCCCAGGTGCGTTCTGACCAGAATTCCGAGGCGAAGCCGGCCGTGGCGACGGGGGAAGGGTAGCGGGAGGAGGCCCAAGATGGGGAAAGCGAGGGAAAGGTAGCGGTATGGGTACGCTCCTCGGCTGGCAGACACCACAGCACACGCCGGTCGTTGAGAGTAGGTATTTTTGGATTCCCAGATCCCAATCTGCTTCAGGCGCCTTCCTACTTCAAGAATCGACACGCCTTTGCTGTGTTCTGCTATTCTCTGGGAGGGATTGAACCCAACCTACTTCATCCGCCTTCCTGCTTCATATGTTTACCTGCTTCTTCCGACCGACGTGTACCCATACCAATGCGGCGCCCAGATTTCTCGGAGTGGGATTCCGGGAGGGCTACGGGTGCGTGTTGCGGGGTGCTGCGTCCCCGCTCGACAATTGGCGCCCGTACTTATCGCGCCTTCCTGGCTATTCCCCATTCCGCCTCCCTGCACAGTGGGGGCGCGCATCAAGAATCCGAATGCTTTTCCTCAGGGTAGCTTGGCTGTCTTGGGTCGGCGCGCCGCGTGGTCATTTCCCGCCGCCGTTGACGGAGCTGCTGCGTTCAGGGTGCTTTGCGTTCCCCCAGCTTGCATCTCGGGCTGGAAGGTTTTCAGGAGTGGGTTTCGTGTTTTGTGGCACTGTAGGCTTGAGCGTGTGTGCTGATCTTCATCAGTCTAGTCCGAGCAGATGGGGTCCACGCAGATGGGTTCGGAGGATCGCGCCGCATCGCCGATGCATCGCCAGTGTGGCTCGATTTGGGATGATGATGATGCTGATGATGATGATGATGATGATGCTGATGATGAGAATGATGATGATGATGATGATGACGACGATGATGATGATGATGATGATGATGATGATGATGATGATGATGATGATGATGATGATAAGGATGATAAGGATGGTGATGGTAATGATTATTATGCTGATGCTGATGATGCTGATGCTGATTGGGATGATGGTGATGATGGTGATGATGGTGATGATGATGTTCACGATGATGATGATAATGATGATGATGATGATGATGATGATGATGATGATGATGATGATGATGATGATGATGATGATGATGATGCTGCTGATGCTGATGCTGATGCTGATGCTGGTGCTGGTGCTGATGCTGATGCTGATGCTGATGCTGATGCTGATGCTGATGCTGATGCTGATGCTGCTGATGATGATGATGATGATGATGATGATGATGACGATGATGATGATGTCAAGGTTTCTGAAATGATAGTTTTCAACTTACGGCTATATTTCATCAAGTCGGCGGCGAGCCTGGGGGGGAAGTGAGAAGGGGCGGGCCCCCTCAGAAGGCTCGGAAGTCCCCCGGCCTTCTGAGAAGTGTTCGGAGCCTTCCCCGAAGACGCGGAAGACTTCTCAGATGGCGCGGCGCGAGGGCTTCTGCGAAGTCCCTCCGCCGTCTGAGAAGGCCTTCTCGTTCTCACTTCCCCCCCCTCGGCGCGCCGCTGAGTTCCGTTCTCGGGTCATAACTCGGGCCTCCAGCGGCCGTTCGGGACGATCCGGGCATCCCCGGAACGCTCCCGGCGGCGCGCAGCCGCTGGCACGCAT